AGTTAATCAAAAAGATAATTGATAAGATTATAAGAGATTTGTAATATAATTATTAAAGATAAAGATCCAGTAAACAAGATAATTTAGAAGCTAAAAGAAGATGACTCTTTAATTTATTAATAGCTAAAGATAGGTCTCTAAACTAAAGGCAAAAATATAATTCAAATGTTTCTTACTATTAAAAAAGTTTTTTTATATAAAATTAAAAACAATTACTTATAAAGATTTTTTATAATTTATGTTATTTAATTTAAATGTTTTTTGAATTATATTCTTATTAAAGTAAAGAGTATGTTCCTTTCAAAAAAATATAATTGATTTGCAAAATTTTATATATTAAATAGTTTCAGGATTTATCCTTACTAATAACATTATATGATTATTGTTTCAAGTTAGTAATAAACTTGTTATTTTACTATAATAATGGGTTAATATTAATTTATATATTTTAATTTGTAAAGATATTTAATATAATTATATATTATATACTGTATATATATTAATAAATTTTTGTAATCTAATATTTTTTATAATTTTAAAAAAATTATTAAAAAAAATTAATAATTTGTTTAATTACTTTATAATATTTCAAATTTAATACTAATAATTATCAAATTAACTTTTCTCTCAATTGCAATATAAAATAAAATTTTTTTTTATTTTTTATATATATTTAAATATTTAATAAACTATTTAAACCAATATATAACAATATATAAAAATTCAAAAATAAAGATATAATCTTGTAAAAAGATCTTAAAATTATTTTATAATAAAAAAATAACAAAAATTACAATATTTAATTTAACAAAAAAAATTATTACAATTATAACATCAATAAATCAAATCACTAATAATTTTATTTTTATTTTTAATATTTTTAAATATATTTTTTTAAATTACTTTTTACTTACTAAAAATTTATTTTTATTAGATTTGAATAAAAAATTTAATTATTAATTAGATACTAATCTTTTCAAATTAGTAAATAGTGCTTTTATATTTTTTCAAATCAAGATTTTTATAAATATATTTATTCAGTAGCAGATTAATATTTATAATAACTTATTTCAATATATTACTGTATTATTGTTTTTTTTTTTTTTAAGGTGAAAGGTATTAGACATATTGGTTTTTATTGAGTTATTTATATTCAATTTCATTACATCAAAGATTTATTTAAGTTAATCCATTCCTTCTATTTATTTTAACTTAGCTATATCAATTTACCACTATTGAAGTGGAGCCCGCATGCTAAGTGTGACTAATTCAGGAATGGGAAGTCCTGCCACCAGTTTAATCTATCTTTTTACTAAGTTCTGATTTGGCAACCTTGTGGCTACTTGCTGTTGAAGATCTTGTACCTTGCAAAATTAATTAAAACACATGGATAACCTGAATACTTTTTACCTAGTTCCTCAGAAAAGGTACTTATACTTCTTGTTATCACCCGCGGATTCAGATTTTCTTGAAGGGTCCTCTTCTTTTAAGCAAGTGCCAAATTGGGATAACTCTAGGCTAAAGTGTTCTTTGTGCTATAGAGTCTGTCATGCCAGGGAGGTGATGTTTTTGGGATTTTATCAGAGTTAGACCAGAAGTCTTTTCTTATGTAATCTTTCCTGCTTTGATTTGTTTTTAGCCCATAATCATCAGAAAGACCAGAGGTCTTATCTTTATGCAGCCTAACTAGATTTGATCAAGATCTGAATGTCTGGATATGACATTTGTGACAATTCGATAAATTATAAATGAAGATAATTTTTTATACATTTTGTTTCCTATAGTATTGAACTAGAGATATGCATTTGGAGATCAATGAGTACTATAAATTTTATAGTAATTATCTTTATAAAAATTGAATTTATAATGAATAAAGATTATAATTTGAGAAGTGCCTTGTAAAAAAAAATTTAAATAATAGATTTGCAAATCAATATAAACGTTATTTTTTTTATACCTAATCAGGCTGTATATTGAAGTTTATTTAAGTTCAAACTAGTTTACAACTATGGGTTCGAACAGACCCCAGGTACAAATGGGTAGATATATCCAATATCTAACAGATCTATACTATAGGTTAAACTTTTATACTTTATACAACACACCCGTTAACAGCCAGTGGCCTCTATATATGATTAAGGGAAATAAATAAAATTGCTCTATCTTGACTCATGCTCCTTGTGAATCTCAATATCATTGCCAACCCTTCATCAAGACTGTTCACCTCAACTTAACCTCTGTGGTCCTAAGATATAAAAAAATTTTTATATTTTTTAAGAAGATAAAGGGGAAGGGTAAAGGAGAAGGAGAAAAGTTTGTGCTGGTAATACAAAAACCCTATCAAAACCAATCATTAGCCTAATAAGAGCATTCTTTGACCTTGAGGAGAAAAAAAAACTGGTATAAGAGAGGAGGGGGAAGACTTCCAAACACTTCTTATCAAGAGGACTCCTCAACACCTTGCTCTTTCGTATTATTCACTTACATCATCAGTTATAATGTGGTATAATGTAGGACACATGTGACTACATGTCTTGTTTACATTTCTTTTACGTATCGATCAACTTATTCAAAATTTCAGCCAATCACTAACCAGAGAATCCGATGTAACAAAAAATTCAGAGTTAAACTGAGTTAGGCAAAATTCTCCAAAAAAAACCAAGAAAATATTTACATGCTTGAAAGTACTACTACAGACATATATAATTAATGAAAGAGAATCATATGCCTAAGAAATAGATTTTTACCAGCTTATCTATCCACCTGGACCACAGGAGTTTTGAATCTTATGGTGGATCCAAGGTTCTTATGGAGCTTGGGAATTGCATTCACTTGGTAGGCACCAACTAGTTTATTCACCTGTCTTTAGACAAAAGTGTTTACTTATGGTGGATCCAAGATTCTTATGGAGCGTGAAAAATGTATTCACTAGTGGTTCACTTTTTAGAGTTCCAGATCTTTGAAGAAAATAGTAAAGGGTATTTTTCTACAGGTTTCTTCTTCCCAGTAAGGTGTTCTTGCCGTAGATCAAATGGATAAAGTTTTGTTTATTTTGTTGCTGAAATATCCAAAGTTTTTCAAAGAAGGAAGAGTAAACAAGTGGAGGAAGGCACCTGCCTTCAGGAAATAATGTTTTTAAGGAAAGTATATAGACTTTATTATTAAAAATAAAAATTATTTTTGAGAATATCTGTTTTTTGGGTTGGCAAGGGGATCAGCGGAAAAACAATATAAACTTTATTACAAATTTAAAAAAATAATATGAAGATACAAGTACAATATTATAACAAAAACAAACAAAATGATATAATAATTTAATCAAATTGTTAAATATTATAGAAATATTTTAATTCAGAAAGTAAAAACACAGAAAATGAAACAAAAAAAATAATAACCAAATATAAAAATATACATAATATATTAACAAAACAAATAGTATAAACAAAAAATAATTTATACTGTCACTTTATAAAATGCAATAAAATAAACTTATTAGAATCGTATTAAAATTTTGATTTCAATCTATAATACCTAATTTATAAAAGTAACTTGCAAGTAATAATTTTATTGTTAAATTAAATTATTTTTATTAAATTCATAATACAATAAATTAATATATAAAAGTTAGTTTTTAATAAAAATTATTAAAAAAAAAAAACAAAAAAAAATTTTTTTGTTTTTTATTTTAGAATGTTTATACTGTATAAACTGTAATTAAAAGTTTTCCGAGCTATTTATATTATATTATTTCTAAATCCGTAGAAATGAATAATATAAAAACACATCAATTCGAAAGTTTAACAAACCTATTGTTTTGACTTATTGCCATGATAAATAATGGTAAAGGTATGAAATTTCGTTGGTATTCGATATCACGTCACAAAAGGTTTTTTTTTTTAAAAAAGTGTTATCAAAAAAACAAAAACAAATTAATAGTAGTAAAATTAATTTTAATAAAGAAATTGTTTAAGTTTCACATCATCAATATTTACTGTACGTATTTTTTTCCAAATCTTCTGGGACGTTTGACTGAGATATGCATATTTGGAGCTAACCATATGTGTACACAAAGTTATTCCGAAACCCTTTGTACACCGTTGCACGCACGTAAATCTGCTTACGTTTCCGCATTACTACATAAATGATTTTATCCACAGTATGTTTTATTTACTGTATCTCACGTGTCGCGGTAACGGTTTCATTCTTATAACTCTCTAAGAGACCATGTACAGAGGTGCATAAATCAAACTTAGATTAATATCACGTGATTATTTCGGTGCTAGAAGCATCAAACCATTGCTGAGCATATGGAGGATGTAGCATGAGAAAATCATTTCACTAGAAAAATGAAAGTATATTCATATTCCCCCAATTATTTTTATACCATTGTAGACTTGCCAACTCTTTATTAGGTATCATTGCAAATGAAACGATAGGACGAAAAAAGAAACGAAAACGAAATAAAAACAATGAAAAAGGGGGGAAGACCACGTGCACAAGAATCACAATGAGGATATATAAAAGGTCATTTTTCACCAAGGAAAAAATGATTCCGTGACACCATCACAAGAAATATTTTCACCAGGAAAAACGATTCCGTGACTTAATCACAAGAATAGTAATGTGAATATGTGAAAGGGCGCTATTTATAATATTTTCTAATTCTATTTTTCTTAAAAGAAGTAAGGTCTTTGTGCAGTAATATTATATACGGGATAAATATATATGTATGTCATACTTTGTCAAAAAAAAAAAAGTAAGGTAGGCATGCCTTCCTTACGGGATAATAACATTATATGCATACATATACAGTATATATACACAGTATATATCGGTGTTGACCATTTAAAGTATATCCTGAACAAGTCAACTAAAGGCCTCAAGCCTTAAAGAAAAACTTGCACCGGTACATTATCTTAAGTCCTATATATTCTTATATGTCATGGCATTATCTTTGTATTTCTAGGAGAATAATGCTTTCTTTAATTTTCAAGGGGGCATCATCGACGGATATTTGCATCGACTACTTGAGCGCAGAATATATACATCTGCTTTGATGGTTCCGGGGCGTCATCCCAAAGGATCGAGCATGCAATTTTCAATAGTCTTAAATCTGGTTCATCCAAAAGTTCATTCGCTTCCATACGCAGTACGGTAGCGAAAGCGTTGTATCCAGTAAATTTTAAGACGCGTCGAAACCGTGTGCCATTTTTTTTGAGCCTATCAAGAACCACGTTGGGGTTTGGAACCTGATAATATAATCGCGCACGCAAAGCATTGTTCTCCACGATGTTTCTTGCACTGAGAAAATTTTCCATGACAATTTCTTAATATATAGGAATGTTTTTTTTTTGTATATTTATATATTTATTTTCTTTCAAAAATAAACAGGCATAGAGCTTAACTTTGGTGAGAGAGATCAAGAAAAGAAAAATGGACTTCTTATATACATGTTTTTTGAATAAAATCATGGATTTCCCCAAGTCTTTTTCCTACGGATGATGCAATAAATTATCACGACATGAAAATATAGCACACTTCAAATCGCCTTCGTATAAGTGGTTAAAGTTAGATACATTATCTAATGTCGTGGGAACGAATTTGTCAAGCAAACAAATAAGTATTAAGAATACTGGTATCTATAAACAAAAAAAAAAGAGGATGTACTGTATATAATATACAGTATAACAACACTTTATAACGTATACGTATATATTATATGGTGATATAAAGGTTAAGATTTTTCCTATTTTCATACACATTTCTAAAAAAAAAAAAAAAAAAAACAAGCCCCCGCATCTGGGTGTAGTTTTATGTGTTTTTTCCTCGAGCGCGTTCGAGATGGGAAATTCAAAATAACCATTTATTGGTGTGTAAGTGTATCACGAAATAGTATCATAAAAACAAATATTTATTAAATAATAGCGAGTAATAAATGTCTGATAAATGTTTGTATTAATGTTTGTCATTTTGACATTCTCATGAAGCAATAATTGGTTATTGATAATTTTGTTTTGCCTGATGATTTGACATTGCAACTCGGAACGTCCGCGTGAAACCATTTTTGAAAAGAACAGAATACGTCTGTGTCAGACTCTATGCTACAAGAGGTATCATACGCTAGAATAAGGATTTCCTAAATAAGAGGTGGCTGACAGTTTCCGTTTCAATAATACACAATTTAATATGACATTGGTCCATTTAATAAATGCTTTCTTGTACCCAAAATATTTCCAATGCCCCTCGACTAAATTAATTGGTAATACACTAATTTAATTACATTTACTTAATTTTTAATTAATTCTTATTTTTATGGGGGCGCGCAAATTTAGTTTTGATGTGTGGGTTTAATTGTTTACACATGATCATCACCATCAAAGAATGAATGTCTATATACAGTATGTGCTTGAAAGAGTTTTTTTTTTTAACCCATGTGGTAACATGATTAACAAAATTTCCATTTTTTGATTGTATCAATATGGTAATTCTTTTCGAAAGCGGACAGGGATTATAATTGTGATCATAAAATTCACATTGTGTATGCATTGATTAAAAGCAGGGACCGAAAAAACCATATCTAGTATTTTTGCAGCCTTCAAAAATAATTACCCATATGCGTATAACCAACTCACCAGAAATATCGTCAAGGGTAGAGCGTTACACAGTTCATTGTTCGATAATGTCACACTGCCCAAAATTAAGTCATACAGCACGGGAAGCCTATTGTAGAAACAATGTACATTGTTTCATTTGTCACATAATGTGTTACAGATGCTACTGTCGGTACCAATAATATCAACAATTTGCTATCAATGCTGCTTCGTACTCTATAATGTAGATAGAATGCACTGCATACTTTTATTCAGGCAAAGTCTATCTGTCTTGAGAATTTCCTTTTGGGGAATTTTAGGGTCACCTACAGTATAAACAAAAGTGGAAATAATAATTTCCCTCGTAAGTGCGAATAAGTTCTTCACCTAGAGTGTCTAAATTGTTGATAATGTAATCGGCTTGATCACCTCATAGGTTATAAAATTTTGTTATACAGCATATAATAGATACAGTAACTTAATGTCTTAACATTTTTACAATAGCGAGTTCAGACTTTCAATCCTTATTGTTTTTCTTAAGCCAGGGAATTGGATCATGGCGAATATACTATATAAAAAAAGAAAGAAAGAAAAGGATATCTTTTGTGGGAATCTTCAGGGTCAACGCTACTCGATGTAACGTTAATATACAGTATCTGTTATCGAAAAAAACATCAATTAATGCATCGAGCGTAAATATCAGTTAAATGAAACTTTAATCCTCAAGACTTTAATCTCTCAGAGGATATGTTTCGTTTCGATAAAAAGAGTGGGCGCATCCGAAGACGAATTTGATGAAAATCTTCTATATACAATATTTCTTAAATGAATGAACTGTATACAGTATATGAGTCTCAGAGTTTTGTTTATTTTTTTTTCTTGATCCGAATTACACGACACGACTCACGACGTTTTCTATCATTATTTGTGCATGGGAATGCACTACCGAATAATTTGAGATAGCGCAATAACTTAAATTCGCACCAGTAGTATGTTGGCGATAAACTGGTATATGTCATTGTCATTAAATAACGTAGCTAAAACTCTTTTAATTGGTAACGAGACGTGTTAGCACAAAAGGCGAATAGATTCAAAATTTTTCTTTATTAAATATAATTTATTTGTCGAACAGAATTTATTGATTAGGGAACATGCATGATCGATTCGCTTTTTCTTTCCTTCTTTTTTTTCACGAGACACCAGCTTTTAGCGTGACTTTCAAAATATATCATTGGACAAATTAGTTCATTCAATGAATTGAACACAAAATGTTAAATAGTTTACAAAAAAAATTTTGTATCAGTGATTGAAATGAAATGGATAAAAAGTGTTAAGGCATCACCACCCAATCAAATAAACAGCACACAAATCATGCTAATTTATAGTACATCCTATACTGATAATGGGTTCATTGACATTCCTATTATATATCACTGCACCGAATTCCTTATCAACACTGTTATACTTATTTATACTTACGAGATTTTGGCGCGATGCCTGCATTATCAACTATGGTCACATGATTTACGAGCATCACACATTTGCCAATCCCAATCCCTTGACGAAAAAAACAAATACAGTACCGTATGATCAATATGATCAAATAAACAAACAAGTAGTTATTTCTCTAAAATGGCATTGGAGGATTGTTTTTCGTTGGTTTTTTTTTTTGATATTAATTTTTTTTTCAATGTCATTTAAAAACTTAAAAAATACAACAAAGAGCAACCAAATACTGTATTATATGAAAGATTGAATAGTAATCAAGTAACATTCGTCGCCATCGTTTACTATATTCTGTATATTCACTATATATATATATGTATTTATTTATTTAAAAAATAATAATAATAAAATAAGCTATGGCTCATTTCTAAATAGTAAATGCAAAATAATAATAAATAGAATGTGTCTTTAGGCAATGACATGAATTTCGCATAAATAAAAAACAAAAACAAAAAATAAACAAGCGACTTTTTAAAAGAGAACATCAAGGAAGTATGGCAATGATAAAATATTTCACATAGGCTAATCCCGAAATACTGTATGTACGGTGCAAAACTTCTTGCATATCAATACAATAGAGATAAATATAGAAGTACCCCAACCATGTACTTATGCACAAAAAAAAAAAAAACTTCCCATGCAGCCGCGTTAAATTTAGACAAAAAAACTTTCATGACTTTAGTTGAAAGATCATTAATTTTTACCCAAACAAGATAGAAGATATTTTTGCAAATTATTCTTTTCAATATGTAATCATCGATTACTTAGGATATGATAAAATTGAAGTTCAGCCACTCAGAGTTGATAATTTACTCTGCTGCGGCAAGATAATTGTGCAACACATTGGCGTAACTACTTCTGAATAAACCCAAATCGGATTGAGTCTAGCGGTATATTGAGCACGCTTCTTTTAAAGATTTACTTTTATATCCTTTTCATTTGTCGCGCGCCCTTTATTGAGAATCGAATGTGCAACTTATTCGCCGCCCACGTATACTTTTTTTGTAAAAAATAATTGATCCCTTACATGTTCAGCTTATATTGATTTGTAATTTATAAATGGTTTTATGTATGAATTAGACCTTGTATTGCCGCTTTATCATTTTTACGGGCAAATATTTGCCTTGTGGAATATTTAGGGCATCATCAACCATGCTAAATAATAATGTGTTTACATTAAATAAAGTGTTTTGTAAATAATACTGTAATAATAATGATGAAACAATCCTTGTCAAATAACTTCTTTGTTCAAAAAAAATATATGGCAAAATGTGGAAATGTCTATTCACCATTTATTCTGATACGTTTCAGGTAACCGTGTACTGTATACATGATGAACAATTCCTTCTTTGGTAATTTGATCCAATTAAATTTTTTTTTAAAAAAAAAAAGAAGAGATAAGCTTAAGGTGAGAAGAGTGCATTCAGAGTTTGGTTGTGCACAGATAATTAATCATTCGTCAATGCGCCAATTATGATTTCAAATCACCCAATCGAGTTTGCATGAAGAGGCGTATTGAATGTTGCAAGTCACAGAGTGTATGGCATCGTCATGCAAGGGTAGGCATGTATCAGATTAAGATAGAATAATTTAATGACGATAAGGTTGATTACTATGAATGTATAAGTGAGCGCGTGAACGTGGGGTGGCAAGAATACATTATCTCATGAACAAATTATTTAACCTAGTTCCAATTCCACCGCGATTCATGCCGCGATCAGAGATGTTCTCGTCCTGACTTCTATTGTGAGATATAATGTCTTCGTTACCGTTGTGCACATTGAACCACTAATACTCCCGAATGAGATAAGCATGTATCTTTTGTTCATGCGAGTAGTGAAACGCGGCTATTCTTAGGTAATAATATCCCCGTCTTATATTTACAGAAGAACAGCCTCATGGGTTGCACATTTTTTTTGCAATGAGTTACAAACCTGCCCTTCTCTTTTTTTATAGATAAAATGAGTGCTTGTACAATCGTAATATGCATGGGTCGTGATGAATAATAGGATACATACGATACGGTAGTGCACTATTTTATTAAGATATTCTTCTAACTTGGCGAGGATAAAAGACTGTCCAAACAGAATTTATTTTGTTCGAGTCATGCCACGCCAAAATTTTTGTGCAATCGGAGTACCTCCTTCATTTATTGATACGGATTGAGAAACAAATAATAAAATAAAAGAATAAAATTGGTCATTTACTCATACATGCTAGGTACGTAAGATGCTTAATACTGTACGTAGGTCAGGATCGTTATTGTTCTTGGCGTATGCAGTGCAATGTAAATTTTAAAAACCACATGTAAGTGGTACACGATAAAGTTGGAAATAATCCCAAACCACTGAATAAAATCACATTTCAGATAGAATAAAATCAATCGTTTATAAACCAATCTAAAACTTATAATCCTTGAAGCACTGATTATATTTTTAATAACATGAATTTTTCTTTACGAGAGGCCAACAACCAAGAATTGGGCTTTATTGTCATATCTCAATAAAAGCAATCGAATATCGTTACACAAGTTCCTTTTTGAGTACACACGCATTACAGTCAGCCCATGGTCTAGCATCAGTTGATTATCAGATTGATTAACGTTTCATCATGCAATGCTTTCAGAGATCGTTTAGAATCCGTAAAAATAAAAAACAAAAAAACAAATAAATATAAATATACTGTAATATAAATAAATATAAATATAAATATACTGTAAATACTGTATAAATAAATATAGTCCGTATATATAATTAAAAAATGGTAAACTCTATCACTCAATACAACCATCGACGAAAAAACTTTTCTTGCTGTGATTTTCTTATCGGTTCCGAGGCTATATTAAAATGTGATGAATCCGTAAATGGCGTAATTTTCAAAAGCCTTTTTTTTTTTTAGAGATCACCGATTTTTGCATGCTCACGCGGTTCAAAAAATAAAAAATGTGGTGATGACATTCCAAGTCTGTGAAATATTGCATTGTCTAACGCATCTAATTAACAATGACCAAATGACCAATAAAAGATCGCGATGTTTTATTTTTGGAGATAATGGAGTTGTTAAGTAAACATTGTATCCAAAATATTTGTTAAATTAGAAGTCATTAAAACAATCATGTAATTTTAAATTAATAGAATATTATGATTCTGCCAATATGACCTATATTCGAGGCGTTTGTAGATACAAACAAAACATTCGCCAAAATGGTTCAATGCTAATTAAATGACACACAAAAGTTAAATCAACAATTTTCGATTGCCAATCGACTCCTTAATAGGCAGACACGTTCATTAGGAGTGTATTGATATAATGGCACATCGAGTACACGATAAACTTTAACGTGCGTGAGTGTTATGGTTTTCCGAACAAATCAGGGAGCAAAAAAAAAAGAGAAAGAAAAAAGTAAACAACTTCTTTTTTACTTATAGATGCCAGTATTTTATGTAATATTTACTGTTTGTTCTCATAATTCGTAACTGTCTCACGATCAGTTGATAAGAAACTATGCCGCAACTCCCCGAGTAGAACGCCCGCCATCTCCAAGGATAAGACTGCGCGTAACGTAATCATTTATGCAGTAACCTCGTTCTTGCATTTTGTAAGTGGGAGCTAAAAAACGATGCCGAAGATATACATGCGTTTCATTTAGGAAAAAAAATATATATAAAGTGTTCCTTTTTTTTCTGGGTGAAAACTTCGCTATGCTCTCATCTTTTATTATGATCCTTTCTCTTTGAGCATTTGACAGTTATTTATTTAGTTATTTATTATATTATTATATTTTTTATTTAGTTATTTATTATATTATTATATTTTTATTTAATTATTTAGTTATTTATTATATTATTATTTTTTAATTTAATTATTTGTTCATTTAAAAAGAAAAAAAAAAAATATTTTTTTTTTTCTGTTGTTACCGTTGATCGGGTTCTTCAGCTTAATACACATTGCTAAGGTGAGTTTCTCTTTTAATCAGTAAGGAGGGGATTTTTGTATTGATCGATGAACTTCTTGCTTACGCCTTTCTTCAACATTTAAATATGCCCTAACAAATAACTAACTTGTGTCTTTCTTTCTTTCTTTCTTGTTAGAATACTGTACATACAGTATATTGGCTACTAATTTTACTCCAACACTATATATATTTATTTAATATTTATAATGGACTTTCGCTCTCGGGTAAATAACGTCGTGAATAATAATGCTCTGCGCACAATATTGTTCAATCAAGTTCCGGACCCCAACACGATCCTCAATGCGATCAGAGTAAACGGCAAATGGGCTCGACGCGACATAAAATTCAGGGGGTATGACGCTTTCGCCACCGTGGTGGTTACGGAAGCGGGTACACTGCTAAATGAGACAGACTCCGGAATCTTAAAATTCGCCTCCTCGCTCCTCTGGTCGGATGCTTCCAAACAATCGAAGAACAATTATATACATTGTGCTCAAGTGGTTGATGCCCTTCGTTGATGGTCACATTCTAATGCATGAATAGTGTCCTTACGCATACGCAATTATAAGAATGTATTATATGTAAAATATGGTGTACCGGTACACTAAGACTTATGTAGATCGTAATTCTGCGACAGCTGCAAGTTGTCGATTCTCCCTTTACTATCGTTTTTTTTTTCTCGTTTTTATACTTCGAATTTACTGCATACTGAATAAAAAAAAAAGCTGGCAAAATCTAATTAAATCACAATTTTTGAGGGATAACCTTATTAAATTGAACGACCCTTCGTTCACTAGTAAAATATTTCCTATGTTGTATCATTCATCTATGGAATGTTGAAAATATAAAATACACACGGAAAACATCTCCTAAACATAGTTGGATATGCATAAATGGTTGATTGTCGCGCCCGTGGTAAAGAAATGGAAGACGGTTAGTGATACTGCAGAAATGGTACCACCGCAAGGCAAGCAAAAAAAGAAAAGTATCCACGATATTCCTGCTCAACCTGCACTCAAATTTGATTCACACGTGCATTTTTATTAAACAAAACGTCTAAAAAGTATACCCCAAAATCTTTTGTTAAACTCTTGTGATTTTATTTTTCCTAAAAAGGAAACCGTTGGAGATACAAAAATACAGAAGCAAACAAAATATTTTGTTTTTTCTCGCTAAACGTTCGTACGCAAATTGTAACAAAGACTAGAGAAAAAAGGTAATTCAAGCCTCGTGAATTAATATGTGTTTTTTTTTTCAAAAATAGAGTTGTCAACTATTTTTTTGCACCTAATAAATTTACATCACGCAAACGAGAGAATACAAAAGATACCTGAAACTGTAAACGATGTAAGTTACCTCTTTACTATCATAAGCTAGAATCAAAGGCTACTCCCAAACGAACATTAATATAATGAGAAGCATCACTAACATACGCACTTAATTTTAGCTATTGGATTAACACTTTATCATGAAATTCACAATTTTCATTCGTTATTTCATCAATGGTGCTTTAGGTGTCTTTTTAGGGTTGAGATATCTCTCGGTGCTATATTTCACTCAAACTATATTCGAGGTCTCTATTGAAAAAGGTTTATTTCAAACCCCAGCTCCTTACATACCATTCAAAGAATTATTACTATCATAATTATCTCTACTTACTTCGCCATTCTTATTATTTAGGGATTACAAGATCTTGGGTCACGAGATCTCCGGAGTTGATCGTGCATATGTACAGTAAATCACATAACTAGATTATCGAGATTACGTTATCATGTGATGATAGATCAGTAGCACGAAAGATTTTCTCTCACCCCACATAACATCAAGATCTTTTTAAGACGAGATGTGCACACCCGCACCGTGAGAGTTCGCATAAACCCCGCACTATGGAATCATCTATGAAAATAGGAGAGTATATAAGATTTAGAAGAATGTTGCTGCGCACTTGCACCTCAAGTATAATGCACATTCGCCAAACCAGGTAGAAGGCTATATTTCATAATGCTTTAATAAATACTGCGCATTTATTTATTTCGGCGTTTCAAGGATCTCGCGCGAAAATAAAATAAACACATGTTTTGATTTTTTTATGATATAGTTGGAGGTGATGTTATTGAAAAAGAAATCAGCAATGAGGAATAAGTAACTGTGTAGGGTTAACTTGGATACCCATCAAAGGCGCGCACGTAATTTATGTAAATATTGCTTAAGGAATAATCAATCTTTGCAAAAAAAAAAAAAAAAAAAAGTCTGACAATATACAGTATACAGTATATATACCGTTTGCGATACCTTTTTTTTTTTTTTTAAAAAAAAATTAAGTTATGAAATTTCAATTATTTATTGGTTCGTTAGCAACCGATATACCTGCACACATTAATATATGTTTTCGTGCAAGAATATGGTAAATCTTAACGAATAGCTATCTTTTACGGGTACACATTATAAATTTTGCTACAATAAAGGATCTTCGTTTTCACTTTCTTATCATCGAGTGTCTAGTTGAATGATGTTACACACACACACGCATGTCATTTGTGACACCAATTAAGCATATTGCACATTGTTTCAAGATCAATGAAAATTCCCGAATTGTTCAACGCGGAATTAATATCCGTAGTGAAGAATCTCCATTGGACCCTTGGAGTAATTTTAACATTCGGAACTTTACTAATTAGGCTTCCATGTGGTTAAAACTTACATATTTAGGCCTGTGTTTATTTGATGACAAATAGCTAAACGACCATGCGATGCGTTTAATATAAATATTAATTTAATTTTGGTTCATATTGGGATCCCGCGCCATGAAATTTAATATGAACAAAGAAAATAACAACAACAAAAATAATAATAATCCATGCGATGCAATTAATATAAACAAAATTAATTTTACCTTGCAAAATTAACCAATAAAGTAGTAGTCATAAACTTTTATGATGCCGATTGGTGGTCTAGCCGGACATACAAAAATATTTCCAAACAGCCAAACGCTTTTCTAATGACTTGCCACTTACGGAGTGCATTAATAAACTCCAATGCCAATAAATTCAATTTGTCTTTTTTTGGTAAGTAGGAATCCACGCGGTAAGTTGCGTGAACGAATCATTAGGAACAAAAAACATTTTGTTTACTCCATGGCACACGTGCAATAATGTGAATAAATCATAAGGATAAGGAAAAACATTTTATTTATTCCGAACTGCGTGTGCAATCGCATGAATTAACAATCAGACAAAGACTTTCTTTGTTTATTGAGGAATTTCCTTAATAGAGCAACAGATACCTTACATAATTTTTTGTTCATAAAGAATTGCCTTAATATAGAAACAGCGAGAACATAAGATACCTTGCATCACTTTTAATTACATTTTATACCATTTTTATTACATTCACGGATAATCTTGTTAGAGACGTGTCTGTGTATATAAACAGGATAATTCTTTCATGGCTGGTATTAGAAGAGCATTTCAATTTTTTTCCTCTTATTTAATGATGATAATTAATTCACTACGCTCGATAAACAAACCATAAAATTTGTGAATAGTCAAAGACCAATTATTAATATCTGATTCGGCGAGTCTGTCGATACGGCTATCGCCGATCGTGTAACGTCGAAAAGGCTTTTTAGACTTGGCACGAGATAGATAAGTGAACGCGTTAGAAAAGAAAGAAGGTAGGTAGTTTATCAAACTTGTATCTTTATTAAATGTTGCCTTTTTCCTGTAATTTTTCTGCTACTTACATTAGCAACACCATGAAAGAGTAAAATATTTAAGTGGAGGACGCCTCAAGAAGAGATTGTGTAAGATCAGCCAAATCATCCTTGCCTTATTTAGCATCTTTTCGGATTTTCATTACGTGAAGAGTAGACCCAGTTATCGAGTGATGATAAAAAATACATAAAAGTGCAAACATAATTTTTTTTTGAAGTGCGTGTAAAAGTGATTTAAAAATGCTTTAGCAACAATTCTTTCTTTTTTGTCAGCATGTATGATGTTCAGCCCATAATAAAACCATGATTAATTATCTTATTACTGTAATGGAAATCACTTTGTTCTTCTTGTTGATAATAGAAGTAGTTTTTTTTTTTTTCGAAATTTCATAATATTGAGCGTGAACGTAAAAGTTCTTTAAGAACCACGCACTTTCACCTTTTGGGCTGTCGCTTAAAAAAGGTCCTCTAAAAACTACGCGTTCTCTCTTTGGGGCGGCGTGCATGAAGATTCTTTTTTGGGCAGCTCGTACGTGAGTTTTCTAAGAATCACATGTTTTCTCTTTTGGGTAACCCGTGTGTGAGTTTTCCAAAAACCACAATTTCTCCCTCTAAGAAAAGAAATTTTCAGTTTGTCACAATATACTGCATATGATAAAAAATTTGAATTAGTTTTTATTATGCAAATTTTATTAAATAGAAATAAAGTTCCTGTAAATAACTTAATCAAGATTCGCAATAAAATAGTGATTTTCTATTAATAACATTTTACATAGTCGTTCAAGCATTCAATAAAAAAAAAATATATATATATTTTTATAATAGTTAAATTATTCGTTTTTCTTATGACTCACACGTACATTTATGTTTGGATTTGCAAATACACCAATCGAAGAATGCGAAGAATGCGTACCTAATTAAATGTGTATCTAATTAAATGCATTGGTGATGAAAACCCGTGAAAAAAAAATATTTAAAAGGCACCTCTGCACCTCTTTCTTTCAATTCTCTCCCCAAGTTTCATCGATTTTAGATCTCATGGACATTCCTTCTCGTGTAAGAAGCGTCGTAGAGAATATCAACTTTCGCACGATTCTGTTCAATAGGGTTCCGAATTCCAACGCTGTCTTTGATGCGATCAGAGAAAACGGAAAATGGTCTAGACATGACACAATATTTATGGGGAACCACGCCTTTGCTACCGTAATGCGTATGGAAGCGGGCACACATGTAGATGAAACTGACCCCAGAATCTTAAAATACGCTTCTTCGATCCTCTGGAAGGAAGCTCCATCACAATCAAAGCAAATTTATATAGACTGCGCTCGACAAGTCCATTTTAATATATGTCGACGATACCGACCGACGCAGCCTTGAAATTAAAGAGATATGTCTTATAAACTATTCTCTTAGCAAATCTAGAATTATCATGACTGCGTCACGAGATCAACACTTTTTATATAGATTTTTTTTTTTTATCACGTAAGGCAACCGTACTTATGAATATCGAATTAAGTACGCGTATGATTTCTCCTTTCATCACTATGTTAATTCCCTTTTCGATAAAGCATCTTCCTTTTCGTTATGTTTATTTTTTTTATAGACTTTCTAATAAGTAATGTAAATTGGCAATCTACAAAATAGTTGGGGTGGCAAAATAATAAATCGAACTCAATTTTTACTTCACTAGTAAAATATTCTTTTGTGTTACGTTTATAATGTGTGTTACAGGTGTGTGTTTCGGTCAACAAATTGTGCACGATACATTTGCCTAAAACATATACAGTAGTATACTGGGAAAACAGAAAATCATTATGAAGTCCGGAACTTTACAAGTTTATTATTTCAGATTTGTGTGTCTATTAGAACAAATGGCTTCATCGACTCGATTATATTTATTATTATTATAATTAACAATGAAACTGTATCCCATGAGTAGCAATATTACTATTATAGAAAAAAAATAGTTAATACTTGATTAATATAGATAAGGATTTTAACAACTTATGCCAGTACCTTATCACTGTTATTTGAGTTATGCTCAACTATTGAAAAGGAAGCATTAATATAAGTAGACATACAGTATCTGATCCATGTATTGTAAAATAATATTATTGATATTTAAATAATAATAATTTAATAATTAATTAAATAATTAAAATAAAATAGGAATGTATATATATGAATTTATAAAGAATAAAAATATATTTAAAAAATTTTTAAATATATTAAATTATATAATTTATTAAATGTAGATAATAAAACTTTACAAAAATTTTATAAAAAAAAAACATTGTTATTTTATTAATAATTACATGATAATTTTATAAAAATATTAATTAAAATCAATATATACTGTATATGTATTGTTGTGCTCAACGGCGAGTCTGTCGCTAATCCGGACCAAGACTCGTACTACGTTGGAAGCGTGGGTCTATGTCGCTGGCGATACCAAAGGTACGTATGGTGATAATTATCTTAATCTCCCCTTATGTTTAACTA